ACAGTAATATCGGATGAGGATCTTTTCATTAAGATGCCACCGTTGTTGTTCTAGATCTGCTTTATAGATTATCACAATAGGCTATCGGCAAAGTCCCACCGTGGATCAAACTCCGAATTTTACCGTTATAACTCTTTAAGATTATCGCTGAGGCACCAGGTGGCATAAATATTATAAATTATATCGAATGAACTGTTACACCTAGCCTATGAATGTTTGTGCAATTGGCCATAGCATAATTATGTGTAAAATAATGAAGATACAATGATAAAAGTACACTAATACATAGAGCAGAAACTTACAGTTTTGGAAGTCTAAAAAAAAAAAGAAAAGAGTAAAACATTCATAATTTTCGAAGGTTCAGCATTATTTACATTTTTTGATATATCAAGCCACTTACGAGTTACTTCTCAATAGCCATAGCTTTGATTCGAGTCAATTTTTCTTCTGGTACAATCGTTAATGTATTTCTATTTGCTTTTCACTTAAGTAATGTTACTTGTTGAGCATCGCTTTCTTGACAAAAAAAAAAGAAATAATAATAATTATTTTTTTTTAATAAGGTTTGTTTGTCTGTAGTAAAGCACAAAGCTACACAATGGGCTACCTGTGCTGTACCCACCACGGGTATTGAAACCCGGTTTTTATCGTAACAAATCCGCAGACTTACCGCTATCGCCCCCAGTGGCACAGCGGTAAGTTTGCGGATTTATAACTCTAGAATCCGAGTTTCGATACCCGTGGTGGGCAGAGCACAGGTAGCCCATTGTGTAGCTTTGTGCTTTACCACAAGCAAATTTACTGGCACTGGGTGAGTTTTTAATAAGGAAATTGGCTTCATTATACTCTCTTCACTAAACTGATTGTTGTTTTGGACACTTGAAGTAAATTAACTTCATCTGCAACCACGGCCAGGGAGTTAGGGCGCTCGACTCGCAATTTTGTTTTGAATTTCGCGCAAAGCTGCACGAGGGCTATCTGCGCTAGCCGTCACTAATTTAGCTGTGTAAGACTAGAGGGAAAGCAGCTAGTCATCATCACCCACCACCAACTCTTGGGCTACTCTTTTACCAACGAATAGTGGGATTGACTGTAACATTATAACGCCCCCACGGCTGAAAGGGCGAGCATGTTTGGTGTGACGGAGATTCGAACCCGCGACCCTAAGCAAACAAACATCTGCAACTTGTAATATGTTTCAGTCACGAGCATTGACCCTCTATTCAAAAACATTATTAGCTGTTGTTGTTGTTTGTAATTAAGCACAAAGCTAAACAAAGGGCTATCTGTGCTCTGCCCACCACGGGTATCGAGACCCGGTTTCTAGCAGTAGAAGTCCACAGACATTCTGCTGTGCCACTGTGGATGAGGGAGGGGGGGGGGCAATATTGGCATCGCATTCGAAAAACCACAAGGATCGTTAGATTTACAATCGTACACTATTGTGATTTAGTTGAACCTGCGAGTTATCCAAAGCAATCAATATTACCAGTCAGATGAAGCTTGTATGTAAGTATTCATAATGTATGAAATACGACAAAAAATTATCATAAAATAAGATTTTGGAACATCTGCCGCCACATATTTTTCTTGCTGATTGAGGCATTTCACATATACATATTTATTTTCTTTTATTAACGAGTGTTCAGCAGAGAATATCCTACAGAAAAAAAACCCAATAAAAACATACACTATACCGCGTATTATTTTTTTTTCACGTCTAACAAAAAAATTAACAATTTAACTGGTGATGTTTGCCGAAAATTTACAGTCAAACTGGGCTGATTGTCGTAATAACAAATACACTTTCACGAAGCTTTGCGCATATCTTCATCTTTTATGGCTCGTTAGTCGTTCAAAAGAACCAGGAGGTTTCGCTCTCATAAGGAATGCAGCATTTATTAGTTTAGGGTTCATTCGTGCAGCTTAAACTTCTCACTAGGACCAGCAATGAAAGAACTTCTTGCACGAAACAGTTTGTTAACACAAAGACTGTTGGGTGATTAGGCATTAACTATTTTGAGTTCTAGTTTAGCAGTTTTTTTTTTATTTTACACTCATATCATTATATATATATGACAAAATTCATCAAGATATAAAAATGGGAAATTAAATTACATTTGTATCAAAATTGCGCGAGCTTCTTTGGACGTTAGTAAAAAAAAAACGTCCGTCGTAGGAGATACCAGGGAGTGAATACGCCTGTTATAACAGCTAGAATGTGATTTTTTTGTTTGTTTGACCACATTCTCTTTTGGGTTTCTATAATTATAATTAATCGGAGGTCAATTTTAGAAATTTTATTTATATCCTATATTTCATGTGTACTGAATTGTTTGTTTTTTAATTTCGCGCAAAGCTACACGAGGGCTATCTGCGCTAGCTGTCCCTAATTTAGCAGTGTAAGACTAGAGGGAAGGCAGCTAGTCATCACCACCCACCGCCAACTCTTGGGCTACTCTTTTACCAACGAATAGCGGGATTGATCGTCATATTATAACGCCCCCACGGCTGAAAAGACGAGCATGTTTGGTGTGACGGGGATTCGAAGTCGCGACCCTCAGATTGCGAGTCGAGTGCCTTAACCACCTGGCCATGCCGGGCCAATGTACTGAATTAGTTAATCATGAAAGTATCTTGTGACAATCGTATCCACAAATCTACAATAATATTTCAGTGACGTCTTAGAACTCTTGTTAATATTGTATATCTTATTTCAGAAAAGCAGTTTTATAGATAGGCTTTATAAAAAAAAACATCCGTAATAAACTGTTAAGGAATAAAAAATGCCGTTACTTTGAAAATAACGAAATTATTAATAATTGTTAATGTACAATTAAAGTTTCCGACTTTAATAAAATAAAATAAATTTTTGTAACTTTTTCACTATACATAACTGCACCGTTGATCGTGGCCTAGTGGTTACCATGTCGGACTGCATACTGAGGGGTCCAAAGTACGAGATGCGATGAATATACTCCACGCTCTAAGTTCTGGATACTTTATAAAAGTTCCGGTTACTTAAAGCCCTTTTGGTGTCCTGGTCAGAGAGCAATCTCTTTTGTTATTTCAAAATACAAACCGAAAAATAAGTATATTTGTCGCTAAAAACGATATAGTTAAATGCGCTGTCGAATAACAAGCTGTACTGGGATGATTCTAGTTTATGGTAATGAGAAGCCAACACTATATCAGATGTGGTCGTAGAATCTTACACAGAGTAGCAAACTCTATCGATCTGATAATACACTGACCTAGTGACTTCATCCTTTCTCTCAAGGATTTAATTCTGAAGCCCAACAAGGTCTCTATTACATACTTACTGTAAAGCTATTTAATCCTATTCGTATTTACTGCTTACAAAACAATACTATAATAATGGCATGCACACACACATGCACAAAATCAATTACAAGTTGGAAAAAAATATTATAATTCAATGTTAATTTATTAGAAAGATCTTCAGTTTAAGCATTATATAGAAGTAGAGCCCCCCCTCTTCTGGTCAGTTATCTAAAATGCCAATGTTTGGAATTAAGGATTATATTTGTACCTGTCAGTAGTTTTGTTAAAATAATTACTAAAAGTGGTGGAATCTGTGATAATATACTATTTTTAACACTAAAAAGCTGATTTCTAAGCAACATATTAACTTCTTTAGTGTACATTTTTGGACCCATGAATTCACAATAGTTGATATTGTACATGAAAAAAATAATGATCTGTCCTTTAGAATATCTGTAACCTTCCATTATCCACGAGAGCAAATATGGTATTTGAAAAGATGCTAATTAGTTTGTGATCATTGTAAACCATTTACGAGATCCGAACTACATTCTCATTGAATTTTCAAGATTATAACTTTGGGAAAGATAATCCCAACAGCAGGTTTCTTGTATACAATAACAGAAGTTTTAATATAAGAAGGCTTTATAGCACAAGTTAAACCAAAGTTCAATTTGTCCCCCTTCTTTCTTTTGTTTTTGTAAGTTAGGCAAGTTTATAAAACATCATACAAGTAGCTTGCAGTCTACAAAATAAAGACACAAAGGTAGGGATTCTTCACAAAAAAATTAAGATTTATGGGTCCACAAAAACAGACTTAAATTAACAAAAAAGTGTGTGCGTGCATGTATTATCTCTTTTATAAAAATAAAAAAAACCATTTTGAAAAAAATGAAGGCCATGACTGATTTCAAGTTAATAATATTTATATAAAAAAAACAATATTCACTGCATCAAGAACTATTAAACTTGCCATAGTAAAATATATATAAGATAACATGTTTTAGGCCTGTAAAAATAGTTTGTTTGTTTTTTGAATTTCGCACAAAGCTACACGAGGGCTATCTGCACTAGCCGTCCCTAATTTAGCAGTGCAAGACTAGAGGGAAGGCAGCTAGTCATCACCACCCACTGCCAACTCTTGGGCTACTCTTTTATCAACGAATAGTGGGATTGACCGTCACATTATAACGCCCCCACGGCTGAAAGGGCGAGCATGTTTGGTGGGATGCAAACCCACAACGGTAAAAATAGTACTATAAATAAATGTTGAACACAGTTATAAGCAGCAGCTGAACACATGCTACTTCAAATATCAAGAACAAAAGATTATCGTGTTTAAGTTTACACAAATGACAAAAGTTTGTGAAAAAATTCATTACCAAATCATCATATGCTATTAGTCCTTCCATTTCTCCAAGTTCATAAGATACAATTCTTACGTATTTCAAATGCCTTCTACAAACTGACCGCTGCATAAGAAGGAACGAAGTTACTAGCTGCCAGAATTCTATCCAAGTTATAAAACGGTTTCTTTAAAATTTCTTTTATGAGGTTTACAATTATTTATAATTGTGTGATAATTGTACATTACCCATAAATTCAGTATTTTCTTAAAACACTTAGAATTATCTTTACTTTTTTATTAACATAAAAAAACTTTTGTACATTAACAGGTTTCCTGTTAGAAGTGTGCATTACAACAAATGCAAAAAAAAATAATAAATCAGTTTTGTTTATTTCATTTACAAAAGGAAAAAAAGAAACAAAGACAGAGATTTACAAGCACTCTTTTTTCATCAGCCATAAACTTTGATGTTACTTTATGGGTAACAGTGGTGGGTCTAGACTCTCTATTGGTAACCATCTTGAAGCATCCAAAGATGCATAAAACTCCTGTTGGATGAAAAGAATATATCATTATCACAAATAACAGCAAGAGGATGACTTTACAAGTTTTACTATGAGTAGGAATTGACTGTACTTGAAATGCATAAGCAGGATAGTAAAAGCCTAGCTTACAGAAAAAAAATCCAAGCCTTCTGATAAAAGAACAACCTTATTCATTTTTCATTATGTCATGAACTTTGTTTCAAGGGACAATAATATTGTCTTTTTCAAATTCCATGTAACTAATAGCAAAACAAAATGAAGACAAGTTTTATATAAATTTTTTTTTCTAATGGTTAAATCTACTATACGTAAAGAAACAATACTGTCAGAGGAACTATGTTCCTGAAATTATCGGCACTCTGGTGCCCACACATTTCAGTTATAAAACATCACCCTGTGCCCACACATTTCAGTTATGTCACCCCATTACTCAACAGTTTAGCTCTAAGACGTCACCCTAGTGCCAATACAATTTAGTTGTATGTCACTCTAACTCCCATATATTTCAGTTATGTTACCCCAGTACCCACACAAGTTATAATACATCACCCTGTGCCACACATTTCAGTTTTATCAACCTAATGCCCATACATTTCAGTTATAAATATGCCACCCCAGTACCCACACAAGTTATAATACATCACTCTAGTGAACACATGTTTCAGTTGTCATCCTAGTACCCATATATTTCAGTTATGTCACACTAGTGAACATACATTTCAGTTTTATCAACCTAATGCCCATACATTTCAGTTATAAATATGCCACCCCAGTACCCACACAAGTTAAGTTATAATACATCACACATGTTTCAGTTGTCATCCTAGTTTATTTATAAGTGAAATGTATGTTCACTAGGGTGACATAACTGAAATATATGGGTATCACCCTAGTGCCCACACATTTCAGTTATACTTCATTATAGTGAATAGAAATATAATATATAAAGAATAAAAGCAGAGCTGAAGAGCCACAAAAATGTTAAAAGATATTGAAAATCACCTGGAAGCTTGAATGTTTTCAAAAAATGGGTTATTTTTCTCTTAGGAGCTCCAAAAGAAGAAAGGGTCCATACTTCAAAAGTGTTCATGCTCCTGGTTAGTTTGCAATATCTTTTACACATTCCATCTGATATCAATTTTTGTCAATAACAGAAAACAAAAACGTATTTAGAAAATGTCTTATATGGGTATAAGTTTCTATAACACTAATAATGTTTAAAATATAATTTAAAAAGATAATTCAGTTCCCCCACAGCCAATCTTTAATATTATTTAATTACAAAAACATTGGATTTGTGACTGGCCCAAGGATTTAGTAACTTCAAACTAAAGTAGTTAGGTTGGCTTAATTTTTTTTATAACCTAATAATATAAATTTTTATTGCAAAAATATTTAAGGTTACCTAGCTTTCCAGTTGGATTTGGAACTCATGTTTTCTTATTTTTGAGGTTTCTTAGATTGTAATAAAAAATATCTGAACTCATGTTGACAGTAAAAATCATATGACCAGATGAAGACTGTGACTCCAAGTCACATCAATTTTTTATTTATCAGTTTATCAAACTTCCTTATCTAAAGTGCTATAAAGTGACATTCTTCTTGGTCACTTTGGCTGGAGTAAGCCAATTTTATCAAGTTCAGAAATGCAGCCCTTATCTGCTCATATGGATTTTGTTGCATAATGTTAGTTACTATATTTCAAATGAAGGTTGGTTTGAGGAGGGGGGGGGGGGGGATTGCTGTTATAGTGGTGCCATCTAGTTACCATGCTAGGTATTTTATATGAAAATAGGAATTAAAAAAACAAAATGATAAAAAAAATTGAATTAGACCAAAAACCTACCTCATTTCTCTTCATCAGTCTATCATTTAAATAATCAATATCCAGAGGATTATCATGTTCTGTAAAATATTTATAAAACGGGAAAATTAACCAGCTTCTCTTCATGCAAGTTGTTTTCTTCACAGCTAAGCTTCTGTAGCTGTGCTACTTAACTGTGAAGCTAACAGATATATTAACACTATATCACACAGTGCTTCTGTCAAACATTAACTTAGTGTACAAATGAGACTTGCACAGTATCCAATGAAACTTTTGTCCAGTAAAATCATACTATTACTAGCAAACTTAACATTTAGTAAACACAATCAGAAATGGAGGAAATATTGCTATATTTTTTTGCATTTTTCAAATAATATATAATGAATAATTTGGTGGATTTGGTTTGTTGTTAATTGCAAAGCTACACAATGGGCTATCTGCACTGTGCCCACTGTTATCAATGGGTAGAAATTGTTGGAAAGGTCTGAGTGTATGAGAGCTAAGTTCAACCTTTTAAATGTAACAGAGCATCACTTATGAAAGTAAGAAGGTAAAATAGCTACTTATATATTTTTTTTAAATAAAGATGCTCTAGTTATCTGTTTATGGACAATAACATTTTCTGAAGACAAATAATTTAACATGTCATTAGCACATCCTGCAACAGATAAATGTCGTAAAAGCAAAGTTTAAATGATTCAAAGAAGCTTCCTGAAACAGACATTTTCACTGATGACAGGATGTTTGTGTATCAGAACAGTGTTTCAATTTTGGCAATAATAATATGTAGCTGCAACCTGCAAAATATTTGCAGTAGTTTTCAAGCCCTTCTCTTGAATTTTCCTTATTCTATCATTTTCAGATATGTCATTTAAGCTACACTTTCTTGAATGCATTATGTGTTAGATTGATAAATTCTGGTCTATTTGAAGAAAGTTTACACAGTCAGACAAACAAACTCACTTAGACATAACTTTAAAACTACACAAAGTAAACAATAAAGTAATGGTATTTATAACACTGTGAAGAGTATGAAACTGTTATGAGCTTTCATTTTTATGAGTTGAAACAAAGAATAAAACCTGTACTGAAGAAGGAAGCAGCTGAAAAGTGTTTATTGCAGTCTATGAAATAGTCTGAAGCTTAATTATTGCAAAGTAAAGTAAATTTAAAGATAAAATGAAGGCAAACTTAGCTGAATATACAGAAACATCTGAATGCATGTTAAAAAAGTGATAACCATATGGTGTTGAACATACTGTGCATGAATATTTTAGACCTAAATAAGTTGAGAAAGCCCATGGAGATTTAATTTAGTGTAATGTTAATTTCTTTAGGCAATTACACGTGGGTTACGTATTGTTTGTGTGAAAAACTTTGCAACTAAAAAAAACTTAAAGCTGAATTTGAAGCCAGTCATCACATTATGACAAGAATATTGTGTTATTGTGTAGCATATTCGTTACATTAACAAATCTGACTAAGCAAAAAACAAGGTGATTCTGAATGGAAAAGCCAGTATGCAATTCAGACTCCTTGGACAAAGATCTTTCTCACGACATGGGCACTATTAGCACTAATTCATTCAACTTATTTTGACTGAACATATATAACATCATAGTTCATTATTTTTTGATGTTGTAAAGTATACCACAATATTTCTAACAAAAAAATTAATTAGGAATTATATTATTGTAGTTTACAACTCACCTTCAATAACATTTTCTGAATTTTCATATCCAGTGTCATACTATTAAAAGAATGAAATAAATAAGTAAAATCCACCTTCAAGACGCAAAAACACACAGATGCTTGTTATTAATAATGAATAATAACAAATAAATAATAACTATATTGTATATACTCACTTAAACATACACTGACAAAATATGTATATTTGAAATCATAACCTAACTACTTATGAATTATTTAAGTATCTCATTTATTAGTCTAAACAAACATTTGAAATAATATTTTATCTAAATTTCAGCAATTTCAACCAAAAACACCAAACATTCAAAGCAGCAGTTTGATACTAATATGTAAACTTCAAATATAACTCAAGATTCAAGATCAAATTTAGCCAAATTCTTAACAAATTCTGGAAACTAGTCAAATTTCAAATTGAGAAGTATTTGGTTAAGAAATGAAAATGTTATTTAAGAGAAATTCACCTGGAAGTGAAAACAAAATTGTTACCGAATGAAGTAAACTACTGATATGAATTACAGTCTTACAGTGGGAGGTTTTAAAACATTTAAAATGCTCAAATGAATCTGGACATACAATAATCGATACTGTTTCACTCATACTTATATTTTATGCAACTTCTTTTGTGAATGACTACCAAAAAAGAGTTTTATGTTTTGAGTACTGTCTCCACACACGAGACTTCTCTTTCCACATGAGATCACCACATGAGGAGCTAACAATTCTCGATCAGCTATATTTACTATAAGCTATTCATACATGCTGTAATTTGTATTTAAGATGCTTAACATCTGTTCAACCTTATTTTAGTAAAAAATTGCATGCAATAGCCCATTTAGTACCAAATTAATTGAAATATGAAAATACACAAATCAAAAACTAAATTTTGTTCATATATACCAGATTTGGTTGATACTGAATACTGCTTGTCATTTCAAATTCTGAATACAATGTGACAAAATACAAACTTCAATCAATCCATAATCAATAGAAAGATGCTAATCTTTTATGTTTTGTGACATTTTATTTGTTGTTACAATTTAAGATAGTTAGTTATTAACTTATTTTCCCATTTTCAGTACTAAAGAACTTAGTGATTACAAGGAATAAATATACAAAGTAATAGAATATATTACTAAGACATTTTAGGCCTTATTTCATCATGAGATATATAAACAAAAAAAAGTTTGAAGTTTCAAGATCAGATTAAACCCACATATAACATTTCTAAAATGCTGTGAAATCATTTAAACAGTTCTCATCAAATACAAGTTTTTGTGCTTTAAGATCCCTCACCTGTTGAGAATAACTGGAATCATAGATAGAATTGTTCTGGTCATATTCATAACCATAATACTGCTGATGGTAATTTTGCCAGTTATAGTACCCTTGATAATCATATCCAGAATATTGATAGTAATTCCTATAATCCTGACCTAGATTACTACCAAATGACCTGTGAGGAGAGAGTTGTAAATGTAGGTTACTAAAAGAGATAAAGTGAATGTAATTTAATATCTTCAGGCATCCAATAGATAACCTGCAACATTAGTTAACTTACTAAACCTAGTACTAATCATTAGCAGTATTGTGATGTAATACTGAGCTTGTATAATGCAAAGTTCAATCATAAAAAATATTAGTTGAATTATTAATTAAACCCCATACTAATTAGTAACAATCTCATGGTGATGTATAGTCTTACAGGCCATAAATATGTGATAAATCATCACATAAAATATTTGGCATATATTAAGCAGAATATTAGTAATTAGCAGTTTTAGGATGTAATCAAGTTCTGTATATTACAAAAGTGTAATACATCACATAAAATATTTGGCATGTATTAAACAAAATATTAATAATTAGTAGTCTTAGGATGTAATTAAGTCCTGCAAGCTACAAAAGTGTGATAAATCATCAACAAAAATGTGAGTTAACTTAATAAACCCAGTGTTAACTATAACTTTAGGTTTTTGATGTTATTTAGTTTTACTGAACTAGGATTAACTATAAAAATGCATTGAAAACATCTGTAGCATCTAAAAATGAAATTAATGCATTAACTTAAATAATTTCTACTTTATAATAATATATTTATAAGCTCCATTTCAATATTACTTTGAATCTACTATATAAGAAAATAAGAAATTATTTAAATTATAGAAATTATAAAAAAATAAAATGTGATATCAACAGCTTTATAAATTATATACATAATAGATTGATGTGTGAACAATACTTTAGTAAGACTACAATCAAACATAAGTTGTGGATGTTTTATGCAGTGTTAAAATGAACATTGACAGCAAAGAAAGAATAAACACAATAAATATACAAATAAAACAAATATCTTTATCTATACACACAATGACTTCTTTTACTAAACTGGACAGCTCCTTATTCAGTGGCACACTAATTGATTACTTAAGATAGATAAAGGGCTCCCGAAGCATGTTCACAGAGGGCAAGGACTAATGCAATCATAATAAAATATACGACTTTCATGTCAAACCAGGGTCCTATTGCAGTATCCTACAATTCTTAGACAACTTACATCAATGACTATTCCAAATGAACAATGAAGAAAACCTCCCAACTATCTATGTCATACCTTGGAATGGGAAAAAGACACATAGAAAGGATCAAAGTGGTACAAGTTTCCATGAGATGGCCATTGTAGTATATAACCTTTATCTAAGCAAAAGGATTAATGTATATTTACAACCCTTGTACATCTGGTTTATAAGGGTTTTATAACTATGTACAAAACACCTGCATTCACTTGAATAAAGATAACATTCTACACTAGTCACAAATAGACTGGGTGATATAATCACTTACCTATGATCAATGATTACATCAATCTGTGTCAAAAAAATAATCATCTAATCAAAATTATGATAAAATTGATTAAAACAAGTCAGTGTTTCCAATTATTACTTTTTGTTGGTTATTCCATTAGTTGATTAATAACAATTTTGATTATATCAATTGTCATGAAAATAATCAATTAATTGAAATGAAAGTTTCTGATTACTACTATTTTTGATTATTCCAACTATCAAGTAATCCAAATACTGCCACCAAACTTGTTTGCTAACTCTGTCTTTGTATTTATGTATGTAGTAGGCAAGTGAGATGATTTGATTGGTGAGCATGCTTCGCTTGTGTATAGATTTGTATAAGCTCAATTTCTTTGTATGGTATAGATTGCTGTGAAAAAATAAAAAACTAATTTGTGTGCATGGCTGAATATATATATTATTATTTTTTTCTCAGGGTGTAATTGGTAGAAATTTTGGAAGAAAAATGTAAATACCAAATTGCATATTGTGTAGGTAATTTTAAAGGATTTCATATCTGATTTAGTTCTTATTTAAAGGGCTCAGTTACCTAAAATTGCTTGTTTAATGTTGTTGTTTTTTAACAACAAAGCATTCATACAACTGAATTGCAACTACTTTTCTCTCACTAAAAGTTTAAGTTATAAGACATCAATTCTTATACTTTAGACTAATGGTTTGTTTGTTTCATGTTAACTACAAGACTGGACAAAGGGCTATGTGTGCTGTGCCCACAACAGGAATCAATCCCGAGATTTTAGAATTATAAGCTGTCAAGCTTATAACTGAGCCACCAGGAGGGACTAGCCATACAGACAACACCTATCTAGGATAAATAAAAGCCTTACCTTCTGGGTGTGGCTATGCTGACTCTGATTGGCTTGGAGCCAACAATGGCAGCATTCTGCATTTCCACTAATGCAGCTTGATATTCAGATTCCAACATAAAACGTACAAATCCATAACCTTTGCTGATTCCTCCTTGATCAAGCACAACTAAAGAAATTCAATGAATTCAGCTTACAAAGAATAAAGACTTGTAAACATGGTCCCTTACAATATAATGGTATGAGTTACAAATATTAGTTTTTAAACTTTGCAGAGCAGACTTGAGCTAAAAATTATCCCTCCATATAAACATTTTTTCATTTTTACTGTATCTGCTGGTATAAAAACTCTTGATAAAGTTAAACTCAAATACAGCACTTTTCTGAAAGAAAACTGTGTAGTATTCCTATGAAATACACAGAGTATCATGTACAGCTTAGTTTAGCAACTGGTTCATTCCAACAATATTCATTATAACACACTAACCTTAAACAATTTTCTGCTTTGGCCATTCATAGTATCTAATCAATTACAATTATTCCTTTATAAACATTTATCAATAATTAATATCATAATATCAATAATTCATAGTATCTAATCAATTACAATTATTCCTTTATAAACATTTATCAATAATTAATATCTGATTCAGTGTATATTTACTATCTTAAGCAACAGAATATTAACACTCGACTTTCTATATTTTACCTTTAATTAATCGTGAGCTTTAAAACACTTCACCAACCTGTTTTAAATATTAGAAGTAATATCCAAATCAAAATAATTTAACATCAATATTGTATATTGTGAATAGTACTTACTCACTTAGATTTTTACCACATTTTAGGGTAGGACTAAAACTATCTTGTCTTTGTACATGACTGTTTTATAAGCAACAAACTATGAATAGAAAATGTTCTTGTTGTTCTCGACTTGATATTTATATTATTACCTCGTCTCCATAGTTACTATTTGCAAATAGTCAATAATATTGTAGGTCCATTTTATTGTTGTTCTTTCTACGTGCCGTTATAACACATTTTCATCTCATCATTTAATTTCTGTTGTGCATATATTGTTGTATAGAAGATA